TTTCACTTCGAGTTCGAGAGATCCTCCTCACTCGAATAGAAAGCCTAAGGGTTACCTATTTTCGAGTTCGAGCATGCCCTTACTCGATTATTAAGCTTAAGGGCTACATAAACTCAAGTTCGAGTTATCATCTGAGGTCCATCGATTAGGAAAGGTCGAAGGCAAGGCTTATTATCGGCACTTACCTTCCCCAAACCTCGGACCCTCAAACGAAACTTCATGATCTTATGGTAAGGCATTTTGACCCTTACATGAAATAACAAAAAAAAAAGACAACAAATTCATAAAGGGAAGAAGTTTCATATATTCATCAAAATCTTTTTACAAGGGCCATATGGCTCGATCAAGAATTCTTTACAATGGCTGGACAGCCTCGACGGAAAAACAAAATCACTAAGCCTAGGCAGCATGGTCCTTGTCGGAGGAAGCATCTTCGCCGTCGGAGTCTTCTTCACCAGACCCACTCAAACTCTCGAAGTTTTACTCGGGAAAAGCCAGCTTTCAAGCCTTTGTTTTCTCTGCCCTGGCAACCTCGATTTCAGCAAATATATCAAAGCTTTGATCACGGCCCCCCTCAAGGGCCTTCCTTTGAGCCTGCCCCTTTGCATGATCCACCATGCTCTTGGCCTGCGCTAGGGTGGCTTCAGCATCGGCCTTGTATTGGGTCGCATTAGCCTGAGCCTTAATATTGTCCACGGCTGCCTCAGACCTGGCTATCTCAATCTCTTTGGCCAAGTTGGCTAAATGGGATTCAAGCTCCTCGACCTTCTTTGCCTGAACTAAGGCATTCTCCCTTGTAGCCCGAATCTGAGACTCGGCCAACTCTAGCTCTGCTTGGACGACCTCCTTTTGCGCAACCAAAATATCCATACACCCCCTTGAACTCTTCAGCCTCGACCCGCACTTTATCTATTTGCCTTTGAAGGTCCTTGATCTATTCGAGCCTCTGTCGAACCTGCAGAATCGATCGTTAGTTGTTATCTCTAACTCATCCTCACTATCATCTGCTCGGCCATCTCAGCATGCTCATCTTGAGCCGTCACCAAGTCTACCTAAAGCTTCTCACTGAGAAGCTTGTAGGTATCGCATTTCTCAGTGAGGCCCTGAACCTCAGCCTTGCGCTCCTCTCAAATTCGAAGAAAGGCCGCATGATGCAACACCGAAGCCTACAAGGAAGGAAGAAAATGTTAGAAATATCTACGATTCAAAGTCATAAAGAGATAAAGGAATGACCCTCGAACTTACCCGATTCAGAGCATGCTGGGCCTCGTTGAAAAAGCAAGAAACTTCCACTTCATCCATCTTGGCTTGGTCCTTTTCAGTGACCAAGCATCGAAAATAGCTAGCCACCCCTATGGGGGCAGAAAAAACACGAGCATCCTCCGGGACCGAGATGATAAGTGGCTATGCCTGGGATCAACACTGGGGGTCGGGAATTGATTGGTTAGTTTAAAGCACGAGGAAGCCTCACTCGAGCTCTTCCTCGGTATATCCAAGTCACCTAGACCGGTGCCATCTTCCACTTCAGCAAAATAGCCACCGAAAGGGTCTTTTGCTTCATGGGCCCCTTCACCGTGGCAAGTCTCCATCGCTTGAGCGTCCTTCATCGTCGAATCAGAGAACGAAGGCAGCGAGGGGGAATCCCCAATCTCTATTGCCCCAAGTGGGTCTTTCGAGGCATCGCCTCCATTTTGGGGAGCCTCGAGCCCACTTTCCGCACCAGCATCCCCGGTAGCCTTCCCACCTCGAGGTGGAGTGTCTTCAGCTTTTTCTGGCTCGGGCTCATCGGGTCGGGGCAAAGCTGTTTTGGCTCCCGCCGGCCCAGTGGTTCCTTGCATCTCGGTGCCAGCTCGCACACGAGTCACCAGCCTGGAGTCTTCTTCTTCTTCATCTTCATCTTCGGCCTCATCCCTTAGCCGTTGGACAGACTCCAAAGTTACACAGATGACACCGCCTTAGGCTTACGGGGCCTCCTAGCCGTTCTTTTCTTTTCCAGGCCTGGAGAGCTCGGAGCCTCTTTTCTTTTCTTCTCTTTGCCCTGCTTCGGGACACATGATGAAAGAAGTGCCTGTTCTTCAGCAGAGGGGGGCCTCATTGCTATATCCTTCCCGATCCCTACAAAAAGAAAAAGATGAGTAAGTCCAATACAAAGCCCGAATGAAAACCGTTTTAAGAAAAAAAGATACCATGGTTACGGGCCTCTCATTGACCCTTTGATAACTCCATGCAAGCATGCTCCGAGTAAGACTTTTGTGACACTAAACCCTCCACCCATTGCCTCAGGTCGTGGATCACTTCCGGTACGACGACCACAACTACAACACAAAAAACTTAGATAAGGAAAGAAGATGAGAAGTAAAATAGCAGATATAGATATTCAAGACAAAGCAATACTTACGATTCATGTTCCATTTTTCAGGAAACGGCATGTCCTCCGCAGGGATCAGGTCCGAAGTCTATATTCGGAAAAAATCGACCCATCCAACCTCGGTCTCGGGTCTCGTCTATGCTCGAGAACGAGGGTTTGGTGGCTCAACAGTAAAGCTTGATCAAGCCTCCTCGATAAAGCCGGGGGCTGTAGAGACGCATAAGGTGATCGAGGGTAAAATGATGCCCCTCGATCTTGTTTACAAAAAATCGGAGGAGGATCATGATCCTCCAGAATGATGGATGGATTTGGCCAAGAGTGACTTCATACCTCTTGCAGAAGGCGACGATGATGAGTTCTAAGGGACCTATCATGAAGGGGTACGTATAGACACTTAGATACCCCTCCACATAAGTGGTGATAGATTCCTCGGAGGTAGGAACTACTACATCTGTCTCTACCCAGTTGCACTCCTCTTTCACCTTCTTGAGGAGATCGCCAGTATATGTATCTCGACATCGGTTCGCATCGACCCGACATCGAGGGCGTATTCTCCACATTAAACTCGGCAGCAGTGGGGCACTTTGTCGGAACAAAGTCCTCCAGGGGAGGCTCTGGCGCCGGCATGCCTTGATGAAGAAGCGGTTTCCTTGTGTGGGACAGTTTTTGAGATCTTAGCCATTTTTTTAAATGGGGAAGAACAAAATGGAGGAGGAACACTTGGATATTTTGCGAAGAAACAAGTAAAGAAACCCAGGAAACTGAAAACACAAAGATCTGGAGAAGGCGAAGAATTGTGAAGATTAGGATGAAGGAAATTGAAAGTAAAGTTTGAAAGAATGAAGAAGGTGGCTATTTAATTGTTTCGCAACGACGGTTCAATACTGGTAGTGCCGCCCGGCGACTGACGCGCATTAAATGCCTAGGAAACTGAACCGATGGGATGTTTTGGTCACCTCTGCCGCTTGCATCACGATGCTTACGTCATAGTAAACCGAGGGAAAGTTCGAAGACTCAATTCGTTTCTTGTCATTACTCTCCGAAAAATGAGGAGACTGTCTTTATACGGTCAAGATCGGGTTTCCCTAATTTTGTATGGCTAACCGAAACCGGGCTGGCTAACCAAGGCTCGGCCTCGCATTGTATCGGACCATGGTACGTAGATGGATTGCTAAGCTCGTGAATCAAGGACCGATCAAGATCGAGACTAGCCGTGATCGAGACAGAAGCGGGAAAGAGATCGAGCGAGATCGAAGGTAGCCTGCTAAGTCGAATAACAGAAAGCCGAGATCTATAGCTCAATAGCATACTCAGTTGGTTCGAGGGCGATCTAGCTCGAGGGCCATAATCGCTCATTATATTGGTTTGCTTTATTTTATAGTTAATTTCTAACATTAGTTCTCATATTTCTCAGTTTGTGCCAAGTAAAATCACATATCCTTAAAACCACTTATAAGTTTAATTATTATCCAATTTTAAGGATAAACAAGTATATTATTTTACACGGATAAAAAGTTGCATGACAATTTCTATATTGTCACTCACTGCCTAACAATATTTGCCTTGTTATTCACTGCAAAAAAAAAAAAAAAAAGTTTTCGTTTATCATGTTGTAATAATATATACTTATATTATAATATCTGCTAATAATTAGTGTGTGAACCAAAAGTTCCTTAAGATTAGTGACTAAAAGCAATTATGTGAAATGCCAGTATTACAATTTCGAAAGGCTATTGTTGGCCAATTTGATATTCTTATGTTAAGTCAGCTGCCTGTTGTGAATAAACTCCCTCACTATTGTCAATGTCCCAGCGTCCTAGTCATTCACAATCTCCGTCAAAATCTGCCTGCAGTTGTTTTAATATTGATAATCTATGTAGTACAATATCTTTTGATAGTCGTAGCAATAATACAAACATCCATCGGACCTAGGGAATACATTCTTCTGATATTCCAAGTTATTATTTCCTAGTTCTAATTACATCTCTTCCAAAAGATGATAGTTCTATTGCTTTATATACATTAGTTGTCTATGTAGATGACATTTTGTGTTTGGAAGTGGCAGGTTTGAACTCAGCTTGTGTAATCATTTGCAAATTGGGATGTTGGGTAAAAACTAAAAGGAATAACTACTACGTATATATAGTTCAGTTATTCCCCAAACTGTATGTCTTGAAGTAGCATTAGAACGTAAAGTTCATAATTCCAGTTCTGCAACTGAATCATATCATTTTTTTCTTATTTTCTTCTTAGAAAAAGTGAAAAGGAAGTTATCTTGTCGGCTGCTCCAAGAAAATTCAATTCTCTTTAATTTTGTAATTATTGATATTCCTTTTATAGCCACAAAAATGTTCGTTCAGAACGGACCAACAAATACTGTCCCACTGCGATTCTTTATTTAATACTCCATCCGGTCCAAAATAAGTGATTTTTTAGATGTTTTCACACAGATTAAGAAATCCACCTTTTAGCATTAATTAGCAATGGAATTGACCATATTAACCTTTACTATCTCACATAAACACTCCTAACACATATTCCAATACTATTTACTCAAGGACAATGTAGGAAAAAAATAATTAATTCATTCTTGAAATTTGGAAAAATTACTTATTTTGGACCACAAGAAAAAGGTCAAAAAATCACTTATTTTGGAGCGGAGGGAGTAATCACAATATTCGCATACAAAATCACAAAGATAATACACACTTCACCTCTTTCTTCCCAAAACGAAAGACATTCTTGAATAGATATTGGAATTGTCTAACCCCATCAAAGCAACTTTATTTTCTTTTTCCTTTTACATATCGTTCTCTTACTTGTATTTGGGCCGTCAAAGACTAAACATGGGCATATAGAGCTTCTTATTCTATGTCAACTGGGGATGCCAGAACATACATATTGTCAGCACAATTAACAAACTCGTAGTTCACAATAAGGTGGCCACGTTGATTCCCTCTTCCATCTGTATCGAGCTGCCGGAAAACGTTAACGTCCAAGTCTAGTCCGCCATTGCTGCATTGATCCACAATTCTCACTGTGGTCTGAGCTCCTGTGCCTGTATTTGTCACCTGTACGATTTTGTGACGATATTATAGTGCAGTTATATATTGTTTAGGAACAAATAAAAAACCTCATGCTTAGTTTTGTTCTTTAATAAATCTATTTGACCATCGAAGTTACATTGAGACAATGATTATTCAAAATACATGAAGTTTACACAAAACAAGCCTTAGAGGTACTAATTAAAGGGGTGATTTCGGATATAATTACGCTTCTTCATGACTAGTTTAGGTCGTGAAATCAATATCCATACTACCAACTTGGCCAAAGACAATGGATTTAAAAGTCAAAGATCTAAAAGAAAGTCTAAGATCTAGGATTCTAGGTACGTACATCTCTCTCTAAATCTCACGCCCCTCACCACGTAGAACCTTAATCCGACTTGTTCTTTTCTTTTCATATTTTGCCTTCTTATGTATTAGGATTCATTTTTTTTGTTCGATACAAATTTGGACATTTAACTAGCTAGCTATAAATTTACTGTTATTATTTTTAATTTTCAAAACAATTATTATTGAAATATTTTCAAATAATTAATTAGGGCAAGAGACATGAAAATAAAAAGGAAGTTTTAAACAAAAAGTCACTATTTAAAATTGCACAAAATTGATTAGTTAAAGTAAAATTTTCATCGTTAAAGTTATACAAGTAACCACGCTTTAAAAGAAGTATCAAGGTACATTAAATTTTTGAATTCTAAGAACAAGAGAGCCATAAAATAAGTTGAGACTTTGAAATTCAAAGGAGGAAAAGAGAGATGATAAATTGCAGATTTTTGTAGTTCTATCGGATGATTATTTCATGTTATTGAATTTAAGGCAATTTCTTAATTCTCAGAGCATGGTAAATAGCGGATTGCGGAATGTGGTCTCAAAAAAAGTCGCTATTACTGAATCAATAGAATTAAACTGTATATTTGTTTAACCTTATCTCAAATAAAAATTATGATAATTCATATAGTATTATATTTTACTCACGAAACTACTTTATAAGAAAGCACATCAAACTAATTATATGATTGTCAAAAATAGATTAATGTTCCAAATCTTACCCTTAAGCATTTGCCACAAGAGTCTCGGCCACGGGGTCCAACAGGGCCACAAAATGCAGTCCAACCATACTTCCTCCGCCAAGCCAAAGGCTTGTTACCATCCCAAGTTGAGCAGTACGCACTAACTGCATACAAATCCCACCCAACATTCTGCGGGTTATATATATGATATGTTGCCCTAACGTTTTGCGCACCACCCCCGCCTCCACCGCCACCTCCACCGCCACTGCACTGACTTTGGCAGCCTTGGCTAGGAGAACAGTATTCTGGTGTAGACCCACACCACCCAAATTGGCTGCAGCACAAGTTTCCACTGCATAAGGCTCCTCCCCTTTGCCTGCCACACTGCTGTGCGCTGGCACCTGCGGCTATGATATAGAGGATCAGAGCAAGCAAAAGAGTACTTAGCTTCTCCATTTTCAAAGTGTTTGAACTGGTGTTGTTTGATCTAGTTATGGGTTTTTATAGGGTTTTCTTTTTTATTTATCTGTTTAATTAGTACTATATATTTTTTGGTTTTGGGATATAAGTGTTGAAAAATTACGTTTTTGCGTGTGTGCGTGAATTTTGGGAGCTACCCATGTTATGCTGCTTAGACTAACTAAAAAACACCTTGAATACTTGAGTTGGTAATTCGGGATATTTAATCATGCTCCATTCGTTTCAACGTGAATCTATTTTCTTTTTAGTCTGTGCCAAAACGAAAGACCCTTTCCATATTTGAAAATAATTTATCTTTATACAATGATTTATAGTCACACAAAATATACGTGCCTCATTTTATACTACAAGTTCAAAAATCTTCTCTTTTTTCTTAAACTTCGTGTCCAATTAAAATAGGTCCACATAAATTGAAATGGAACTTATTACTATGTTACCAAAGTTTTAGAAATTTAATATCTTAAAAGAATAAAAGTGTACCATAAATATATTTTATAAATTAAAATAGTTACATACTCATTAATTTAGAAGTATTTTCAACTTTTAAGTATTAGTGTATTACGTCAATGTCACAAATTTATGCCGCGGAGATAGAATTCAAGACGTATACAGCAATAGGACTGATGGCGGCTTTTAGAGTAGAGGCGGCTATTAGCAAATGAGGGACCGAGTCGTCTCTTTTAATCTAGAAAGAGTCCTCCTTAATAAAAAATACTAATTTACCTTCGACAAAAATCAAATTTAGGTACACGTACTTCACCATGTTTAAGTTTAATTTATTTTCTTCGACCCACAAATTAATGCACATATAATATAGCAGGTACCGCTGAATAAACGAGTCTCGCAGCTAGGGGAGGATGCAACACAATAAATTTAGATGATTTCATTATTTTACATATGTATATATAATCCCCCATTTAACGTTTATAAAATGCACGAGTTTCCACGAGCAAATATTTCAGTATACACTAACGTTTAACCAAAGAAATTCGGTTCCCCCTTCAAATTTTCGTTTAAATTAATTTGATCGTTTGGATAAGGTTGGGCAAATAAGCAGGAGCGGAGGTAGTGTATTGTTTAAAGGTTCGGAAGAACCCAATAACTTTTACTTAGATTCAGTTTTTGAATTAAAAATTTGTTAAATATGTATACGTATTTAATTGCAAAGGCGGTAATTAAACTAGGTTTGAGTTCGGTGGCAGATTCAGAACCCATAAATTTTAAATGTTGGCTCCGCAACTGCATATAAGTGTAAGCATTTAGGTTTATTGATTATGACATACTTCATAAATATTAGACCCTTGAACCGCAGCTTCTTCGAATATACTTTTTTATAGGGGGTGGAAGGGAAAATCGATTTTATCTCCATTAAAAAGGTTTTAAATTAGATGATTATTTTCATAGTGAATCAGTAAAAATATAGCACAAGAAATTGATAAATAAAACACAGATGGTCTGTTTCTATGACCATTTTTTCAGGTCAAGTTCAGTGGACTCCTTACATAAATATCAGAATCAAATCTTTACAATCCAATGGTGAAAATCTTTCACGTAATGGGTGTGTTTGGTATACGGAAAATATTTTTCAAGAAAATGTCTTCTTGGAAAACAAGTAGTAATCTTACTCATTATCCGGTGTTTGGTACGCAAATTAAGGAAAATAATTTCTCAAGAGTATTCATAAATAATTTAGATACAATAAACATGAAGCTACAAACTTTCGAACCAACAACCTTCCGAACCCACAAATTTCATAAACTTCCGAACTGCTAAACTTTCGAACTCGTAAACTCTATTATTTCTAAACCCACAAACTTCCAAACACATAAACCTCTGAACTCATAACTTTGGAAATCGTAAAATTTCAAACCTGTAAACTGAAAAAACCAGAACTGAAAATACAAAAAAAATATTTTTATCCGCAGGGGGGTGGGGGGTCATCAGGGGGTGGAGTTAGCAGGGTGGGTGGTGACGGAAAAGAAAAAATACAGAAATCTAAAAAAAAAAAACTTTTTGGAGAGAGGGGGTGGGAGAGGTGGGGTAAGAGAGAAGGGGGAGGGGGTTTGGGCAGGGGCGGATCCACATAGCGAAGCGGTGTCACGCGACACCCATCGTCGAATTGTTTTACTAATTATATGTATCAATATTGTGAGAAAACAGATAAGTAGGAAAAAGTGACACCACTTGACATAAATTGTCTTTTGATGTGTTGGTTATGTATTTGACTTTACTCTAAGAGGTTATAGGTTCAAACCTCAATTAGCACATCTTTTTTGCAAATATTTGAGAGAAGCCTCTGTGGTTAAAAATTATGATGAAGTAGAATTATTTCTTGTTTAGAAGTATGATAATTAATGCTATTATTCCTTTTCTTCTATAAATTTTCACACCGCATACAAAAATTCCTGCGTACGCCCCTGGGTTTGGGTTAGATGTGAGGGTAGGTGGAGTATCTGAAAAATGTTTTACTAACTTTTTCTAGGAAAATTATTTTCCTCCAATTGCAGGAAAATGTGATCTTTAGAAAAAATTTCCAAACTATTTTGTGCAACCAAACAATGAAAAATAGAAAATATTTTTGCCGGAAAATATTTTCCGTCATACCAAACACACCCAATGTGTAAGTCTGATTTTCGCCTTCCCCTCTCTTTTTTCTATGTAATAAATTAAAAATCAACGTTTAGCAAACCTATTTTGAATCTTGGCTCCCTAATATATAGCATATCTCTTTTCCCTTGGTTTTATTTCGAGATAAGTTAGGTTACTATGCGATAATGCAATGCAGTTGAAAAACAGCATTTGGTGTTTGACCCAAAATTTAGATCTAGATTTAAGAAATTAGATTTTCTAATGAAATAGAGTTAATCTTAGCCAATTAGATATATTAACCGATTTTGAAGCAAGATAATATGGGTATTATCTAAGTAGCAATAAATGGTGACAACACTGTAATACTCAATGATCCAAAAATGAAAGAGGTAGCATTAGATAACAATAAATAGCAATGAATGACATTTTAAGTAAATAAAAGCATGCGAGTCGCCCGAAAAGGGTGAGATTCTTTGGTATTCTTTCTGACAATGATGAATGATTGATGAGCCTTTGAATATTCGGATTCTCCTTGGATCGTGAGAGAAAAGTTAGACAAGGATCTCAAGAAAAAGGTATAGATTGTATGTGTATAATAAAGCAAGAATCTTCAGAGAATGTCAATGTGTTGTCTTACAAATAAGTGTTCAATGTCCCCTATAACTATGTCTTTTTATTTATAAGGGGACATATGCCACAAAACCCTAATAGTACAGATCCAGAGAATATTCACTAGAATATTCTCTTTAAAGTCTTATCCTAAAACTAGCCGTTATTACTTTGTTTAAGAAGAGTGCTCGTCCTCGATCTTGATCTCTGTTGACTCCTCGACCTAGCTCTTCATCTCTTGTTAGATCAGTTCGACCTTGAATCTATCTTTTCTTGTAGTCATACTCATGACACGTGGCGGCTCTCGAAGGCCCTCTTAATGCTGACGTCGTCTAAATATAATTAAGATAATAATTTTTGGCCCATACAGTTAGTTCCTCCACTTCATCTTTGTGGGCGAGTTCAACGAGCGGATAGGTTCGTTCATGGTCGAGTTTATTGGACAGATAACATGGGCCGTAGACGTTGTAGCGAGAAGGCAACATGGCTCTCCGTAGGTTATGTATTTCAAATCCCTTAAATTTTCTGGGTGATTTGTTGGAGCCATCTGTTCCAAGAGAGGGGGTGACGTCATGACGTCATGCGTCATGATGATGCTTGTTCCCGACACATCGCGTCGATTTGTGTGTGACCTTTGATGGGATCTGCCGTTTCAATTCCGGTGCCAATTATGATGAGCCGTTTCAGGTTTGGTGCCCATTATGCAAACCGTTTCGGATTTGGTGCCTCATTCTCTATAAGTAGGAATAGCCAAACCTGAATTTGAAATTCTTACTCTCCCAAACTTTCGAGACTCCAAACTCTCTCTCCGAACCTCTCTTCTTTGTATCTTTGCTCTCCTCCATATCCTACACTCTCTTCCTAGTTTCCTTCTTTACTTTCTCATAAACATGTCAAATGTTTCATCTGATGTTGGTGAAGGGAGTCACACCATTTCGTTGGCGGTTGTGTTCCCTGATCATGGAGAGAATGCAGCTTCCACCGTAGAGGATGAATCTTTTCCCTCGGTGGAGGAGATCGTCCCCCACAACCCTGAAACCAGGTCTGATTTCCATCGTTCGCCCGACGCGGTGCTTGGAACCTTCTTATCGACAATGGCGCCCAATCAATTAGCTGAATTTAAAGCTAAGTTCGGCCTCCCCAGCCATATCGAACTGATCTTTGCTGAGGAGGACGAAGTGCATGTTTACCGCCCCGGGTACTGCGCTCTATACGCTTACCCATTCGCTATCGGTTACTCATTCCCCCTCCATCTGCTGGTGGAGGAATTTTGCCACCACTATGGCATTTTCCCGGCTCAACACGCCCCCTATGTTTACAAGGTCATCAAGATGCTGACCAAGTTTGCTGAGCTAGCCTGTGTCGAGGTGACGTTGCGGCATTTAGTGCACCTGTTCGCCCCTAGCTTCTATGAGGGAACGATGTTGAACGTCCGTCACCGTAGAGGCAAGTGCCTGGTGGTAAAGATGGATGACAAGGCCAGCCGTCAATTATGGCTCTATTTCTTTTATGCCAGAACTGAGGACATCGTGGCCAACGCCGACGACTTCCCCGAGGCTTAGAATTATACACGCAAGTATCTACGTTTCTTACGTTTTTACCTTTTGCATCTCTTCGTCCATTTTGGGCCAGTCATGTAATTATTCCTTTCTTGTAGCCAACAAATGTCTTCCCTCTCTAGCCGTACGCATCACCAACTGGTCGGGCAGATTCTCCCTCATGCCGAAGGGATTCGTGATTGGCCGAGCTTCTTCAAGAAGTTCAGACCGGCTCTCCCTTCTACAGGTAACTTCTCTTTTGGCTGTGATCGGATCCTCTTTTTGTA